CGAAAAAAAACTATCATTATCGGACGCCAATACACATAACTGTATTCTAGAACCTGACGAATGGTGAACATGTGGTCGATGCAGCCACGACTAGGTTTGATGCCATCCTGGTTTTCTCGTGTCTTCATTCCATGAGTCTTTGTTAAGCGTCCGATAATTATTGAGGCTAGTAATTTAGATGCTAAACCACAATGGAAAATCTGGAAGAATCGAGCGGCTGTTTCGTCCTATCATAGGACTCTTCACCAGTTCTCATTTACGATCCTGCACATTGGACTGGAACCCAGGACATTTAGTATTGTGTGTGAACTCTTAACCTCTAGACCACCAACGGTGTTAACGTCTAACTTCAACCAATCCACGAAATTTCACCACCGTCTATCATTGTCTTCAGTGAGTCACTGCCTCACAAAAGACACGGTTAAACTCCACTGGCTAAGGGTAAGAGAGCGAGACCGGAGGTTATGGATTCGAGTTCCGTGAGCGGGACCGTGGATGTGCACTACTGAGGAGTCCTATAATAGGACGAGACCGTCTTCCAGTACTTCCAGTTTTTCCATGGTGGTCTAACTTTAATCGGCCTACGAATTTAACTTTTCTATCAGTATAATTTTCACAAACCCGCATTCTGATAAAAATTGTGTAAATTTAGTTTCAACCAGTCATTAACAAGATCCGGTTTATTTGTACATCGATTAGAATTGTTACTTATTATCAGTCACCTAAATAAAGCGGAATAATCAACACAAATCCCAGACTGATAGATTTAGTATCGATGATAGTGATTATAATTAAGCACAGATGATATACTTCATAAAGAATTAGTCAATATCCCGAATGATATGACTGAAAATAGAGGGACAGATGAAGTAAGGTAATATCAATGTTAATATCAACAACTACCAATTATAACTATTGTCTGAATTTGAAACGCGCATGTCGTCCTATTTGGGACTCGTCAGCTGAATGTACTTGCATCCCAGACTTGTTGATGTTCACTCTGTTCTGAATTCCACTGCTAACTGTTATCCATCTTTGCTTAAAAAGCTTATGACTTAAGGCTATATAGAGACAATCCGAATAGGTTGCATATATATTGCTAACATGAGACGCATCAATTACATTCCTAAATAACAATGGGAAGATGCAAGTAAAACAACCATAAGTGAATAGTGATTGGAGGTAGTCATCAGGAAACTCTGGGCTCGGGTTTCGTGCTATTTGGCACTTTTCAGCAAGGTGTACCTGTAGTCTTTAAGGAACTGGTGCTCCATGACGGATTCGATCCCGTGTTGATCGATAGCATTCGATCTGCACTAAATGAGGACTTGACATACATGATAATGATCACCACCCATTGATCAACCAATTGTGAATACATCTCGGTCCTACAGAAGGTCAGTCGCTGCCCAAATAGCTCAGTTGTAACGTCTCTAACTGTGAAGCTGGGTGACATTGGGTCGAATCCGCTAGGAAGCACCAGTTCCCTGAAGATTACAGGTACACATCACTCAGAGTTTCCTGTCGATAACCTCTAATCATCATCTTATCTCAACATAGTGCACGTAATGTCGAGTCACCTAGATTAGTGACCACATTAAAACTTGGTCAATAGCATTCGATTTACACTAAGAACGATTTGACACATATGACATTACTCACCCACCACCCACCCAGTGATCAATCAATTATGAACACCAATTATATGAAATAGTTCAACACAATTCAATAATATTAAAGTAAAACAATAAAAGAAAACTTACTTTTTGATAAATCAATAAATTTGTTGTAATTAAAATCGCTAATGGTGCTAAAAATTGTCCAATGATTAATGCTGGTATAATAGATTTAGTATAATACATATAAGTTTGATATTTAATATGAATTTTATGTAAGAATAAGTATGTATGCTTTTTAGTAAAGAAATTATTAGTAATATAAATATAATAATTATATACTACTAATGAATTAAAATATTGTATATAACTATTATTATGATGATGATGATCATTATTTATACTACTATTATGTGTAATATAAGTAGTTTTCAGTTTTGATATAATATCAATTTGATATTGTTGTTGTTGAAGTTGGGGTTGTTGTTGTTGTATTTGATATTGTAATTGTTGATGATATAATAATTTATATTTTTTAATTTGTTGTATTATATTCATTAAACTATAAATTGATGCTAATATAAATAAAATTAATGGTAATAAACATAAAATAACACGTAGAAACCAAATTATTGATTTTTGTTTTTCACGATATTTTTTATTTATTGTTGTTGTTGTTGTTGTTGCTAAGGGTGATGTTGTTGCTGAGGCTGATGATGATGATGATGATTGATTCATGAATAAACGTGTACAACAACAACAACAAGAAGAAGAAGAAGGAGAAGAAGAAGAAGAATTAAAATGATTATGTAATGTACATTTTTTAAACATATTTTTTAATAATGAAAATTTATATTGGATTAGATTACATTTCATTGAAAGGTTTGTATTATTATTATTATTATTATTCATCGTTTGTATTTCACTAGGCCAATGTATACCAAGTGTACGTTCTAATGCAATCCATAAAATGGCACCAATTTCTAATGTTTGTGCAATATCTATAGTCCATATATTAATTAATGATATAATTGTTAACCATGCATTTAATATATAATATTGTTCATTAATATTATATATAATAATTTGACATATACACCAACTAAGTAAACATATAGATAAACTTAAATTACTTATAGATAAACCAAGTAAACCTCTTAAATAACGACGTTGTCTACGACTACGTGGTGTATGATAATGAATTGAACCATGATGATAAGGATGATGATTGAATTTCAATAAACTAATTGATGATGGATATTTATTTAATGGAGGATTTGATACAGAAAATGAACGTTTTGTTGATGATGATGATGATGATGATGATATTGTTGTAGTTGTATTTGGAATGGTCATTTTATTCATTGTCTCATTTGGTATTGTTATGATTGATGATTGATTAAATAGTAAACCATTAGATCCATGAGAATTTCTTTTATGTGACCATTTTTTATATAGAAAGTTGAATGATGAACATTTTAGATTATTATTACTAGCGATATTATGCATAGGAAAATTAGTACTACTATTATTACTATTAGTAGTATTGTTATTAGTAGTATTAATTGTTATGAAATTATTAGAAAAACTTGAATTATTTGTTGTACATGATGGTTTAGCTCGTCTATCTAAATATAATAAACCAATATTTGCACAAAATGAACTAAAACCTAAAAATGTAATAATAAACATATCAAAATGAAAATACCATTGTTCATTATGATTATGATCCGGATCAGGATCAGGATCAGGATCATTAGATTTATGATTGAATTGATCTAATATAAAAGATTCATTTTGTAAATGATCATTATGTAATAATAATGTATCATTATGAATCATATAAATAGTAGACATATTATTTTGATTATGATTATGTAATATCATATTAGACTTGACAATTTCACCATAAGTTATCATCATCATCATTCCATAGAATTGAATAAATAAAATGAATGAAAATAAATATTCACCAATATGAACGAATGTCATCATTATTTTATTCAAGATGTATATGAAATAGAAATCATAGTAACTAGGGGATTGTCATGGCAACAAAACAACAGCAAAAAAAATCTCATTTCTTCTCAATTATTCATAATAAATTAAAACAAGAATAAATGATTCCCAAATTGTTTTATTATTATTATCATCATCATCCATTATGATGTAACACTTTTCTCATGATAATAATATCAATGAAGAAAGAAAGAATAAACAACCGACGACGACGACAACAACAACAAAAAAAAGGTAAAGAATAAAACCGGTAGTTCGTTCAACATTATTGACACATAAAATCAGTCAGTCAGTTAACAACAACAACAACAATAAAAAAAAATATGTAAATAACCAATCAGCATAAAGTTGGTCTGTTTATCAATCTATCTTTTTTTGGAGGGGGATGTCTGTCTATCCATCAATACACACACACACATTTATAGAAAGAACATTCCAATCTTATGACTAATGTATCTAGTTTTAAAAATATGACAAGGTCACAGGATTATGATTGGTTGGAACATGATATCTAATATATTAGGATGAAAGAGCCGTCTAGCCTTTCCAGGCCTCCTATGATAGTCTAGATTCAATTGTGGTCCACCAGGGTGCTGAATACTTGTGTGGTTGCGCCACAGGATTGAGCTGTACTATTCAGATTGTAGCGTTAAAGCCAATAAGGTGTCTGGTTCTCCTGCTAAACGAGATTAAGCTGTACTGTTTAGGTTGTCACGTGAAAGTCCGGATGGTGTCTGGTTCTCCTGAAAACCAATGTAAAATTACCCTGGCCCACAAAGGTATATTATATAACTGTGAAAAAAGTGTGCCCCCCCCTAAGAAGACCACCTGCTTCGATCTGACACCCGGGCAGTATCACAGCCCTCACACAAATCGAATGATTTATGTGGCGCATATCTATTTGGTGCCTCCTTGTAACAATGTTTATGTGTTTAAATAAATAAATAAGACTCATTTGACTCAACTATTGAATTACTATAATATCCATAAAAACCCTTCTCTGATTATAATCATCATATGCTCACTAGTGATTGGCTCCAAGAGATATCTCTTGGAGTTCTAGTGACAAACTGTGATCAGTGGAATTCAACCGGGTCTATTGTGAGATAGTAACTCACTAATGACAATGGTGAACGTAGCGCTCAATTTTGTGGATAAGTTGAAATTAGACATTAACAATGTTGGATGCCGGTTGGCACAGTGATCTAGAGGTTAAGAGTTCATGCGCGAGACTGATAGGTCCTCGGTTCGAATCTCACGAAGCGGGAACATAGATGCGCATTGTTGACGAGTTCCATACTAGGTTGTTTGTCTAGCTTCAATTGACTCATAAATTCAATTATTGAATATATATCCACTATGATGAATATATTTTACGGTGGCGCAACTTCGTAAATTGATTGAGGATAGACATTAACACCGTTGGATACCAGCCGGCTCAGTGGTCCAGTTGGTTAAGCACCTGGTGAGAGACTGATAGGTCCTGGGTTCGAACATCGAGGGGTGCGGGATCGTGAATGCGCACCACTGAGGAGTCCCATGCTAGGACGAAACGGCCGTCCAGTGCTCCCAGGTTCTCCATGGTGGTCTAGCTTCAATTGACTCATGATTTCAACCAGTGAAATGCAGAACTAAATGATAACCGTCCAGTTTCTTTGTAAGAAACGAAGAACGAAAAAAGTAAAGTAAAAGAATGATGTTGTTTATACACTAGATATTTTGTTGTTTTTCTATTGATTAGTGAATTAAATTGTGTAAAATAAAAACAAATACATATTTCTTCCTCTTTATATTTGTAGTCATCACGTTCCATAAATTAGGTTAAATTCCATAATCCTAGTCATTTGCTTCTTTTTTTTTCTCCTCTTAGTAATAACAATGAAAAATCAGTTAAACGAGATATGAAATTGCTATTGAATTGATCGATGTTAGAACATCATGGAGAACCTGAAAACAATGAACGATCGTTTCGTCATAGTATGTTACATGTCAGCAGCGTGAATCCATGTTCTAGTAGAAAGCCTTAACTAGTCAAGTTCAACCACGTCGGATGTAAAGCAGTTGCCAACTGAAATAATAGGAAATGATTGAAGTTAGATATGGTTCGGCTTAATGGTGTCTAGTATTTAAGCGTTCACGTGAAACCGAAGGTCTAAGTTTGGTTTCTGCGTACCGAATCGTTTATGCGTACTGTAAGGAAGTCGCAACATAGGCTTTCAATGGCGGTATAATATTGATCGGTTCATGATGATAATGAAATTAAAATTGATTGAAACAAACTAATTAAAGAGATTTTTGACGATTATTTTAATTTGTAGATTGTATTCCTCAAAGACTGGTCACATGACTAAACAGTTGTTCAATGTTTCCTGGTTTTAAATGGTGCTTCAAATGAGATGGGTTCCTGACAAATTTAACTTAAATCATTTCCCTAAACACCCTTTTAACTAAACTATAATGATTATTTCGTAAGTGGTTTACTTTGAAATGTTCCTAAAATTCTAGTTAGAAATTGTGACTGTTGGGAATCAGTCATGCTTGGAGTGAAACAGTTGAACAGGATGATCGTCGCATCATATCCTAAATTCACCAAGGTTGAAACTGTACCACTGTATGCCGACCCAGTCATTCAAATTATTAGTCGTTCTGCGCCAAACGTGAGAGCCTGAAATCAATCCCTGGAGGAGTCTTTAAAGTGAACTTTTGAGGATTTTCATACTATAAAGAAATAACTGTTCATTTCTTCTTGATCTTCAACAGCATCTGAACTTAGACGAATAACAACCACATAGTTACGAAACTTTTTGAAATGGCCAATGATATGTGTAGCATCACTCTCCTTCAAGACTATTAGGATACCTTATTGATAAATGCAAATATCATGAAACTCAGGACTAAAGTTTCCTGTTATTCATCATTAACCAACACCTTATAAGATAGTTAGTTATAACAGAAGTTGCTTTGAAAATGTATTATAATCATACAGTACTTCTACCTGTGTCCTACTGTGATTTCGAAGAAGTTAGTGAAATAGAAGGAAATGTTATACACTACGTTAAATAGACTATGGAAAGAGAAAGCTAGATATATAAATAATCCGTCTATATGACTGTACTTCAATGTGTATTCATATTCTCAAAGATCGTAGCTATATATTGCATGGAAGATCACGTTCATCACATGTTTTCCTTTTTCAAAATCCGAACATTAGAACTAATAGACAATCTAAAACAATTCATGAATTATGTAATGACAACACATACTTTATAAGTACCATCATTTTGTATGATATCATTCATATACACTTCTGCTGTTTTCTGATTGGCTGAAGGTCAAGGACCTTAGAAACTAACACCAAGTTTACCAGGATATCTGTGATAATGACGTGATATTTTACTGTGAACAGATTTACACACTCGGCTGTGAGCCATATTATTTGAGTTTGACGGCTAATGATAATTTTCGAATGACGAAATTCAAGTAGTTGAACTTATGACCAGCTTCGAGAGAAAATTTCCAGAGTCCTAGTGACAAGCTGTGACCTGTGGGGTTCAACCGTATCCGGTGTAAGAAATATATCAATCGAAGACAGTGGAAGATAGTCGTTCGATATTGTGGATTGATTAACACTACGGAATGCCTAATCAAAGATCTAGACGTTAGATTTTCACTCAGGAGGTTGAAGCTTGCGGGTTCGATCATTTTTATTTGGGTCGTGAATGCTCACTGCTGATGGGACTCATACCGGAACAAAACAGTTTTTCAGTACCTCCTGGTTTTCAGTGGTTGTCTAAGTCAGATAGGTTCGCGATTTTAATAAAATCCAATGATCTCTACAACCCCATACAGATAGTTGATTTAAATTTTGAACATATGATTTACTGGCTAAAAGTCCATTGACGTAACCAAAGAAATCAAAGCTATCAAATCTCATAGTATTTGTTAAAGATTACAATTATACCAAAATATTATGTACAACCTGTTCATGTCGATGTTGGGCGTCTACTGCATCTTTCATCCGGTTCAGCAACACTCTGTTGAAGATTTCCCCTGGTACTAACATTAGTGTGATGTCTTCACATTTGCTCAGATCTGAAGTGGTTTTTATAACAGAAACTGGAAATGAATCTCCTAAGTCAGTCAGACAACGGCTCATAAGCAATATAGAGCCTAACACATGTGTATCTATACAAGTTGCCCATTAACTACATCAACATATAGAGATAAACAAATGTAAGCGTATTGAAATAATCCGTGGTAAGAGATAATATGATATGAAGAGGAGCAATAAATTTTCAGAATAAAAACGATGAGTTCATTTGAAAATTCGAGATCTCAAAAAACAACAAATAATGGAAATAACCACAATTGATTGACCACCGGGTGGTGATCAATGTCATGTGTGTCAAGTCCTTACTTAGTGCAGATCGAATGCTATCGACCATGTTGCAATGTGGCCACCAGTCTAGGTGACTCGACAGTGCGTGCACTATATATTGAGATTAGTGCAACATGGTCGATAGCATTCGATCTGCACTAAGAAGGACTTGACACACATGACATTGATCACTACCCAGTAACCAATCAATTGTGATTACATCTCAGTCCTACAGGAGGTTAGTCACGGCTCGGATAGCTCAGCGGTAACGTTTCTAACTGTGAAGCTGGGTGACACAGGATCGAATCCGCCAGGGAGCACCAGTTCCCCCAAGATTACAGATACACCTTGCTGACGCGTGCCAAGTAGCACGAAACCCGGTTCCAGGGTTTCCTGTCGACTACCTCCAACCACCATCTAATCTCAATCGAAATAACCGCACCACTATGACTAATTCCAAGTTATGTCATTCAGAATCTACAACCATGGATTACAATAATCATTCTAACCTTAACTAGATAATCTTCATCTGCTAGCAAACCTGAGGTCAACAGTCAATGAGTTCATGGTATGATCAACGAAACCATCACTTATGAACGAACCAATCAGATTTAAGATAATAGATCTTGGATTTTAATCCGAAATTTGACTAAAAAAAGCATTATGTCACTCTTTATGATGAAAATCCTAAATCTAATTCTTAACCTTAAATCATCAATTGTTAATATTAATCCTCATTCTTCACACATATTTATAACTCTCTTTTACCCTTAGTAATTAGGTGAACATTGTCAAAGTCACTAAGACATCTCCACTCATTGTATGATCTAATATCTTGGTTCAATTAT